TTATTATTATTATTATTATTATTATTATTATTATTATTATTATTATTATTATTATTATTATTATTATTCTCATTATCATCATTATCGGATTTATTTGCACTCGCAAATATTCAAAACGGGCGGCACATTAACAGCCCGCCACACAGCCACTGGTGACAGCAGGTCAGGAAGCAGATGTGATTATCAAGAAAATTCTGGCCTCTCCAAATTCACACTTTTCTAGTGGGATTGTCAATGAGACATACCTCAATTGGCTACTATAATCGATGACGCATTTTACATGTGCTAAAGGCAAGTTCCGAGACTATACGTCATCCCTTAAGTTGAACTTGAGGCCTACTCAAGTGGGTCGCCAAAGTGCTGACTAAATTAATTATTTAGAAATTATTGAATATATTTATTTGCATTGCTTTTAGTCTCGTTAACCGGCAAATTTCGGCGTGTTTAAATTAACTTGTTCTCGTCATCGCCAAACTTCTCTCATGGCTTCGGACTGGTGGACACCAAAATCCTCGACGAGAGGATGCGTCGAAAAGCATGATAACTGGCGATAACACCTTGACTGGCCGGCTCGGAACCGGGATAAATGGGAGTCAAAAGAGGCGCTAGAGACAGGGAAAGCTCGTTACAGAAGCATAACTCTACCGACATTTTCCCTCAAAAGTGAACAGTTTATGAGCTTTGACCAACAAACTTAGGTTATAATTGGATTTGGATCAAAATGATCGGTGCCCCAACCCTCCAGATGTCCTAAAGCAGCATTTCCACCTCTGGATACGCACATCCGGGCCACGACTCTTGGTGAAAGTGATGGATAATCTGGACAAGGTACCAACCTGAGTCCCTCCATCCTGATAGACCTTGGCTGCATGGGGAGGTGTAGTAACGTCACAACATAAGAGGATCTTGTATTTATTAACTAGTGGCCTAAATGATCATTTTGACTAAGAATTCGTATTAAAGATCTCGAGATTTCGACACCTACTCACTAGCAATATAAGTAGTAATATCTATTGAAATAAATATAAATAAAAATTGCATCATCGACAATCCCGCCATAAAAGTGTGAATTGGGAGAGGCCTAGCTTGCTTCGAAAGTCAATTCTGCCCTTTTATCAACTGTAAACCATAATTTCGATGTGTCACTGTTAGGCAATACTGCCAATGGTACCAGATGCTCTCAGAAGCGCTGCTATATCATATTTTTATCTTGGGCATTTCACTGTAGAGAGTATTTTAGTCAACAACATTACTTAAGTCATGAGGTTCATCAGAGGATCGCAGGACGGCTAGCCGATGATCTATTCGCACAATCCAGCAGTCTTTACTATACTGCAACCCTCCTTCCGTTGTTGGTGAGACCGTATCACGAAGTCTTTCCAACCAAATTTTCCTTCACAATGGAAAGTCATGTCACAATGAGGGACTAAGGAATCCTTCTAAACCCAGTTTCTCCTCATAGCATTACTTTTATTCGAATCAAGTAGGCTTTTACGACTATAAGTAGACCTTTAATAACTGCTCATCTGCTGATTATGGGAAAATTCACTACCAGTCTTTGGTCACCTGCAGTTATCATGCAAGATTTACTGATAGTCTTGAAATCCTACTTAATTCGAATAAATGTGTTATTTTCCAGAGTTAGTAGGTTTTAACATTAATTAGAGCTATATCCATCTTAAGTAGCATAAAGTGATGAAACACTGATAGTTCGGTTTTTTCCCCAAATAAGAAATGAATACATCTCATGATGTCAATAAAGTTCCATAGCATTTTCACCAGAAGTAATTCTCACAAAGAATGACTGCCGCTTCACTCTAGCCAACAAGAATGGATGTTATCGTGAGTCTCAAATGGTTATTTGAA